GATTAGTTATTTTTATTATCTTGAAACTGTGTTATCATCGTTCTGATTTTACTTGAATCATACTGAAATTCATTGGGTTAAAACCTTGAATCCATTAATTTTAGGCTTAAGTTGGTTTTTCTGTCTCGTGCATATAAGAATCCACCCAACCGCCTCTATATACTTGGTCTTCAACTCTGCTGTTTCTGTTTATTTGAGCTGAACTACTCCTTGCTTATTACGTTCTATTGCCACCCGCAATATATGGTGAGAATTGGAGAGAGAGATATTCATCTGAAAAAGTGACTCGTTCTATTGAATTAAATATTGTGTTCTAGACTCCAAACTTTCGAACTTGTACTTATGTGCGAACGCATTCTACTACAGTGCACAAATTCCTCATCGCGCTGCGTGCTTCTCGTTTCCTCCTGGCTTCGTTCTGCGAACCAATTCTTTTTGAACCACTTCAATAAAAGATTCAACGCTTTCCTTGCTCTTTAATTTCCAATTATACCAAAAATCAATAAAATAGATTTTGCAAGCTTTTCTATTCCTGACATTCCTGTTGGAGGAACTTTCGGAATATATTGCTAACTAATTAAGCAAACGTCAGTTTTGGAGCAGGAATTTTATTGCATGTGTTCCTTCTTGAACTCACGTTCAAGAAGGAACTTCGTCCGATGTTGCCAAAATTACCGAGAGTCAACTTGCGGGCCGTTGCAGTGCTAAAAAGAGTCCGGTTTGTTGTTGTAGGGCCTATAGAGGACAAGGTAAATATTTAAAATATGCCAAGCCTTGATCCAAACTTGGTTGTTAAGAAAACATATATTAGATGGAAATTTACATCAGATGTTATGGAGATTCCTGCCAGACAAAAGCTTTCCATCACGGTAATTATCTTGGGCGTTTTCATGCACATGCATGTTGAAGAAATGTCGCATGTTGCTTTTATGCACAGGCAGCGAAGAATTAGGCACATGCATTTTGAAATGATCAATCAAGCACATTTAAGAGAAAAAGAATATCATTAGCATAATTATGTAAATCTTGTAATGTATCATGTTCTGAAAGTTATAAGTGATGTATAAACAATTTTGAAACCTGTTTTATCCAAATATGTCGCTCCCAAGAAACTGAATAGATTGATGCATAAATATACATGCACACACATTCGACACTGTTTCGTTTTGTAAACGAAAATCAACCATCCTCAGTTTAACGATGAAGTCTTCTTCCTGGAAGTACATTTTACAGGCTTACATTATTAGCAAAATTAAATCGATGACATTAAAATTAGTCGCATTCACTTTTGTTCAATCTAAATTGAGGCTTAATTACGTTATGCTTTTACAATAAAAAGAAGAACAGCAAAAATGCATATAATCAATTAATCTAATGCAAGCATGCAACTGTATTATTTGAAATATGAAAACATAATTACAATTGAGCATATTTTTCTCTTTACAATTGAGCATATTTTTCGACAATGTAATAAATTTTCATTGGAACCCGGCTCCATTTAACCCAAAGCTAATTTTCTGTATTTCATTAATCGATTACAATTAATGATCCGAATTTCAATCGAGACACTGCATATTTTTCACTTCACAAGTGTAACGCAGGCACTCACTGCGTCAGACAGAGCGTCGGCTGGGTTGTGGATGAGGAAGAGCAGGCACTGCAGTGCCTCGCTGATCACGATCAGGTGCAGCAACACGTCCAGATTTCCCTTCTGCAGACTCGTCATCAACAAGTAAATGCCAAAAAGGAGATCCGAGAGATACCAAACGGACACGAAGATAAGAATCCAAGAATAAACATCCGTTATCAGCCCCACTGCCTGGTTTATCTGCAAAATTTGTTCTTCAATTCCCCTTAGATTTTCAGCGAGATTTGTATTTCTGGAAGTCGTATCGGCGTTTGAAGTTGAAATGGCGGACTGTGAGGAGGACACGCAGGACTTTCCGTCACAGAAGCAACTAGACATGAAATTTTCCTGAACTTTTTGGTGAGTATTCCAGCAAAAAAAATTGTTAGTGAAAATCAGAGTAACGGAAAACACAAATAGTATGATAAACAAGAGTGAATCGATGAAGTTCCATACGGTTGGTCCGATGTCTTTGCGCCAATCATGATAGACGCGAACTAAGTAATAGAAAATCAGAAGAAGCGAGAACACTAAACCAATGAGAAGTGGCGAATTTGATGAGTTGAGCCAACGTTCTGCAGGGGAATGATCCGAGTCGGATATTAACCGTAGCACGCTGACAAGTTTAGTGAACGAATTATGACTCCACTTGCATTTTATTATAGAAACAATAACCATAACAGGAGCAACAAGATGATGAGCGTTGTCGAATATCTCCGTGAGCGCGAGCTTAGAGTAATCGCGTGAGAAGAAGAAATAAGCACAGCAGCTATATAAGATAAATGCAGTTGATGAAAAGGTACCATACAGTTTATTTTAAAGCGAATCAGTGTTGACGTTGGTCTGTATACCACGTTTTTGTTGGGGCGAGGAGTTTCTTCAACTTCAGGTGAGACGCTCGGGACGCTCTCAAGGCTTGGATGCTCGTCGGCAATATAAGCTAGGGTGTGACAAAGCTGGAGCAGCAGCTAAAATTGCAGCTACGTTCTTATGCTCTAAATAAAATCCAAAGAATTTTAAAGCAATTTTGCTAAATTGAAGTGCATCTAGCTCCCACGAGTTTAACCATTCTTAACGGAAGTAGTGGTTAATTTAAATGCAAGTTTCTCTGTATAAGCGAATCCAAGTCTCGCACTGCGTCTTCGATTTGCTAGAATTTATAAGAACATCCTCGGAGTTTGAAGCTCTATCAGACATGACAGTGAGACATGAATATTTGTATACAAACTTAAAGAAAAATTAAAGATGATTCCAAACGACACACCGTGCCGGCTTCTCAGTCATTACAGCTTCATTTATTTAGAGTAATGATCGTCGTTTCTTTGTGGCTCTGATGGCGATGCGATTATTATAGCTCGGCAAAGTTAGAGGAACTTTATAAACTTTCATTTATAAAAGAGCGGTTATTTCACTACCAGCCATTTTTCATTATCCGCCATGTTTCATAACCAGCCATGTTCCATTACCCGCCATGTTTCATTACGTTATAGCTGCGGATTAAAAATTTCACTTATGTAGGTTAAGTCGTATATAATTAAGTAATTAACCTGTATATAATTGTCTCAGCGGGTTTTCTACCAATTAAGTGAAATATATCAATTTTACATCACGCGGTCACTGCGATAGTTTCAGTTATGTGGGCTTGGTAGTTTCATTTTTAGGTATTTAACCGATAACCTTCGCTTAACACCAGCGCAATGACTAATTTTATATACTCTTTATATATTTTGAAAGGCTTATTAATAAATTAATATAGAATTTGAAAATAATTAAAGAACCCTATGAATTTTTGCTGGAGACTAGAAATACACTGCGCATCTATGGAAAAAGTAGGAAAATTTACTTAATGTGAAGACGGAGCTTGAGAAGGAAACTGCTTAGGAGATTTAAATTGAATGCGATAATTTGATTTTTGGTTATCGTAGAACGAACCGGTATTAAGTGAACTAACGGAATCCCTGCAAACTTCCCAGTTTTTGCGTCCATGAATGAATCAATTACAATACAACAATCGTTCAATCCTATTTTAGTTGATCCGTCAGTTAATGAATGTTCCAGAATTCTTTTTTGTAGAACACAATCTGTATTGATGCCAATTAATTGATTTATTCTTAAACATGAAAATTGAGATTTAATTTTATCTAATGCCGAAAATGCACAAGGCACCAGTTATTAACGCGCTGCTTAATTCTATAAAAATAGCGTTTGAAGTGGCAATTTCTATAGGCAACTGGTATAGCTAGCATCCCAGAGACAAGTACACCTAAGCTTTCCATATGCATATTAGAATATTTCACGCTATGCTAATGTTTTTTTATGCATCATATTAGATTCTTCCGCTGCAAGGTCTAACCATTTATTATGGCGATCAATTGCAGGAGATATAAATGAGCCGAGTTGTCTAGCGCCTCGAGATAACAGATCATTATAGGGCTGAACTTTAAATACATGTAAAAGGTAAGAAAATAAATGATAAAATGTTACAAAATTTAACGCCAAACATTTATTTTAATTCCAAGAAGAATATAAAGAGAAATTTATGACGGTTGAAATTTTCTTGAAAAAGGACAATGCTGTGTAAATGCACTCCAAATATTCTTGCGTATATTTTTATCAATTAAGTCAGATGAGGATCTCTCACAAAAACTTACAAAAATTTTCAACCATGCTCGATTATTTGAATAAAAATAATTTTTTCCTGATAATAATCTTACTATCAAATCTATCAAATTTTGACAGGGTTTTTCCCAGTGCCATCCCGTACAACTAACAATAACGAACATTTTTAAAAGCTGTTTAATTTACGTGTTTAGCGTCATTTATCTCTAACATGATTCGGTGTCTTATTCACAGCGCTACTATTCACACGGCTTGAAGGTCTTAGTGGCGTCGATGCACATGAAGATAAGGTTAATGCTACACGGAACCGTCGTGAGTTTTCCGGACTTCAGGATGACCACGCAGGAGGAGGTGTCACCGGGACTACCGTCCCACATGTCAGCGGGCACGGGAGTCTTACTGGGCATGCGAACCCAAGCACCGTCGATGTATCGCACGTTCACCCAGAAATGCGGTATAGAAGTGGCAATTTCTAAAGGCGACTGGTATAGCTAGCATCCCAGAGACAAGTACACCTAAACTTTCCATATGGTATATTAGAATATATCACGATATGCTAATGTTTTTTATGCATCGTATTAGATTCTTCCGCAGTAAGGTCTAACCATTTATTATGACGATCAATTGCAGGAGATATAAATGAGCCGAGTTGTCTAGCGCCTCGAGATAACAGATCATTATAGGACTGAACTTTAAATACAGGTAAAAGGTAAGAAAATAAATGATAAAATGTTACAAAATTTAACACCAAACATTTATTTTGATTCCAAGAAGAATATAAAGAGAAATTTATGACGGTTGAAATTTTCTTGAAAAAGGACAATGCTGTGTAAATACACTCTAAATATTCTTGCGTGTATTTTTATCAATTAAGTCAGATGAGGATCTCTCACAAAAACTTACAAAAAATTTTCAACCATGCTCGATTAATTTGAATAAAAATAATTTTATCCTGAAAATATTCTTACTATCAAATCTCTCAATTTTGACAGGGTTTTTCCCAGTGCCATCCCGTACAACTAACAATAACGAACATTTTTAAAAGCTGTTTAATTTACGTGTTTAGCGTCATTTATCTCTAACATGATTCGGTGTCTTATTCACAGCGCTACTATTCACACGGCTTGAAGGTCTTAGTGGCGTCGATGCACATGTAGATAAGTTTAATGCTACACGGAACCGTCGTGAGTTTTCCGGACTTCAGGATGACCACGCACGAGGAGGTGTCACTGGGACTACCGTCCCACATGTCAGCGGGCACGGGAGTCTTACTGGGCATGCGAACCCAAGCACCGTCGATGTATCGCACGTTCACCCAGAAATGCGGTATAGCTAAAAAAACATAAGAAAATATACTCATAAGCCTGAACGTTTGTTGATTTTAGTTTCTCGGTTGAAACGGGCATAGAATAGGGGTCAAATGGAATTCATTTCTCGATAAAAAATGTCAGCTTCATTTTACAAGCCTATAGATTTGCTTTAAAAATTTCGCCCCTTGACTGACACTTTAATTCATTCCTTTATACCAAATGAACAACGATAAGAAGCTTACTCGAAAAATATTTGATCTTCCCTTGACAATACAATTCAAGGAAATCTTGATTCATTCATAATTTCTAATTCAAATCGTTGTATCAAACCCAGAAGGTACACAAAAGCCATTATAAAAAGTAACACAAAAATAAAGTAAACAATAGACATTTTAGTTCTTAGTCGTACATGAGATTTTCAAAGCATATGTCTGCATTGCCTGCTCAGAACTGAAAAGATAGCAAAATACCACTTTTTACTCACCAGAGTTCGATTCATCATTGACGGCTGCCATCACGAAATTCAGGTTCTCCGGCGTGTCTATTGGGGCTAAAATAAAGTAAACAATAGACATTTTAGTTCTTAGTCGTACATGAGATTTTCAAAGCATATGTCTGCATTGCCTGCTCAGAACTGAAAAGATAGCAAAATACCACTTTTTACTCACCAGAGTTCGATTCATCATTGACGGCTGCCATCAAGAAATTCAGGTTCTCCGGCGTGTCTATTGGGGCCAACGCCACTCCAAATACCAGCGCACAAGTGGCCTGTGCCTCACAGAAGCTCTGTCCAATAGATGCTTTCCAGATGTAGGGGTGTAAGTCAGATCCAATGCACGTAACAGGGAGGCATGACGACACAATGATCACATTGTGTCGTCATGCCTTATACGTAACAGGGAGGCATGACGACACAATGATCCGTACATTTACAACAGTAAAAATTCTAATTATGTTTGTAGGCCACACGATATTAGAACACATTTTATACACAATACTGCCCAGCACTGTTACTCACCATCATAGCCGATATAGACCGTCTCACCATCGCATGCTTGTTTCTCAGGATCATAGAAACCATTCATGGCGATCATGCACGACCCATCATTGAACTTGAACATCAGTTTGGCTGTTTATTAAGAGCATGGTTAACGCTACGTAAAATAAATGGCACGAAGCTATAACAGAGTGAATAATGGAACATTTATTTAGCAATGTTTACAATCCATTTTAAACAAATGTTGTTATTAACCTAAGATTTAGCCAGGATTTATATTTTCTCGTTCGACTTAATCCCGCATTATAATAAAACGCTGCCTATTTTTTATGCATATTTTACGTGCCTATTTTTTATACTACTTGCTCCAAATAGTCAATTGTTATTGTAAATTTTCAATTATTATGACATTGTCTCATTTAAAATAATAAAATTGCGTATGTCAGGCATGAAATTCCGTATTGACAAGGAATATATTGAATTACCAGCGTCCAGGGTGGCCTGGGCACAAGCGAAGAGAGTCGTGGCAGCGTCAGCGACCTGCCATGTGATCTCCTGCGCACTTGAGCTCGTGACCTGAGTGAAGCTTTGTTTTCCTATGGCTAACATCCATAGACTACGACATAGTCTCATTTAAAATAATAAAATTGCGTATGTCAGACATGAAATTCCGTATTGACAAGGAATATATTGAATTACCAGCGTCCAGGGTGGTCCGGGCACAACCGATGAGAGTCGTGGCAGCGTCAGCGACCTGCCATGTAATCTTCTGAGCACTTGAGCTCGTGACCTGAGTGAAGCTTTGTTTTCCTATGGCTAACATCCATAGACTCCCCGTCAGCGAAGCTGCTTGCTTGATGCAGGTCGAGAACAGGCTGCTTCTCAAAGAAGTTTCCAAGCCATACTAATGACAAATGAAAAATCCGATTAGAAATTAATAAAAAAGTATAACTCAGTACTCACTGCAGTGAGTGACAGAGAGCGCATCTTCTCGTCGACGAAAACTTGAGGTCGCGGACAGACGGACTGACAGACAGACAGACAGACGGACATGACGAGCACAATAGTGCATTTTTTCCATAAATGATAAAATGCGCTAAAAACGACTAGTATTCGATCAAAATATTCAATATTAATTGGTTATGAATTCGAGTTAACTGCAACGCACGTAAATTTGCGAGGCATTTTTAGCGCATTTTCACATTTATGAAAAAATGCACTATTGTGCTCGCCTTGTCCGTATGTCTGTCCCTCCGTCTGTGCGTCTGTCTATCCGTCCGTCTGTACGTCTGTCCGTCCGTCTGCCCGTCTGTCTGTCTGTCCGTCCGTGACTTCATGTTTTCGTCGACGAGAAAATGCGCCCTCTGTCACTCATTGCAGTGAGTACTGAGTTATATTTTTTATGACATTGCCTTCAAGTTTATACTCAATTAGCTGATCAGATGAGAACGAACGTAAACGTTAAGAAGTAAATCTGTCTCCTAATAAATAAAATACATCTGCAGTAGAATCATATGAGTAAATATTTAAAAGATGAACGGTCTGATCCGCGCCGAAACTGAGCGAGGTTCCCGTATATTCTTGCATTCGCTGTTATTATTTCGCAAGTTGATTACGGATAACGCTCGAAATTGGTCCATTCTCTCTTTATAAAAATTTGATTATTATTTAGGTGACTTATCAACCATTTATATAATCAAATGATACGATCAAATTGATCAGAAACAAAATTAGCATGTTTTTACTCACCGTTTCAAAGACTTCGTTGGTGCGAGGAGAGGTCAGTTCCTGATTGACAGGCACAAGAAAATATTGTTATCAGATTGATTTTTCACAACTATGCAATCATTGGATAAACCTATGGTGATCGATGAGGGGATTTCTTGAAACAATTTAATCTTTAGATATACATATGAGGAAAGCTCAATTGATCTAGAATTTATTTGCACGATAATTTCTTTGAATAGAATAAAATTCGATGCTAAATATTTGAATGCGAAATTGTGGACTTCTTAGAATTAATGCAAATTATATTAAATATAATGCACATATATTTATGAATATAAGTCTCTATTTCGTACCGTTGCAGTGGCAGACGAGGCTGCCACCAGCAGCGTAAGAAGTAAGGCAGGCGTTGCCATCGGACGTTGTTGCTCAAGCGAGAGTCGCACTCGAACTGGCGGCCCGTCGCCCCCGCGGCCACAAGTTAGAATATTTTCACAAGTGTTTACCGCTGTACCTACACGTGTACTTACACGTGTACTTACACGTGTACTACTTACACGTGTACAAAACTTCAGATTACTTTCATACGTGTTTACTGCGATACTTACACGCGCACTAAACTTCAAATTACTTTCATACGTGTTTACTGCTAGAAAGGAGCCCGCAAGCGTCGAGGAATTGGGCACAAAGAACTATAGCACATTTACGCAGTAGATGCCAATACCATGAAGTCAATAAACAGAATAGTGACGTATATAGTTCTAAGATCTAGTTAAGCGTGCAAGGTCTTGCTTGGTAAGACCGTGTGCTGCTCTTAAAAATAGTGAGTTGTTTTAATAATTAAATAAGACTGATGCAATATTTAGTTATCCGCCGTCTGTCGTAGCGCTTTCAGTCACTAATGAATAAACTCGTCGCAAGATGTCAAATATACTTCTGCGAATTTCTTCATTTTATTTGACGAAACGCAAACGTATTCTGAGAACATACAATTGAACGTATTGTAAACTATACAAAAAATAGAATGGTTGATGCAAGCACAATATTTCAACAGAAATATCAAAAAAATGGGCAAATATTTAAGATCAAGGTAGAGGAATATTCCCTTATCAAACTGTGGGCACCGTGCTGTCGCACCAGCCGCAAACCATGAATAGAGATAAAAATTTCTATCCAACTTGGCCTTGCCTACTTCTACATGGGGAAAATTTTAAGTAATTAGTACTGAAGACGACATATCAAAATCTGTGGATGCTATAATATTATAATAGAGTACTCGTTATAATAACAGGCTGATACTCATACATACTTATTCCACTTGGCTGATACTTATCTCTTATACACATCTAGATGTGTATAAGAGACAGGAGCATAGCAGAGCCTAGTGAAGTCGGCGCTGAAGAATAGGCCTGATGTGGCCTGTCGCCGATTCGTGTACTTTTCGCGACTTGTCCATAGGAGATCTAAAAACAGGTCTTTCTACCGGATCTTCTCCAAACTGTCGATAGTTTGAAATATTTACTAGACTTCCACCGGGTTTGATATGGTGCTAGGCATTTTAAGTCTTATGGGAGTGATGCGGATACGCACACACCCAAACGATATTTTTCTCAAAAATACGGCCCCAGATCATCATGTGCATTGGCCTCAGTGTAGACTTCACAGTTCGTAAATATCAGTTATCCGTATTTTTGGGCCAATGTAAATCCGGAACACCTGAAGAGCGAATCCGGAAATGCTCTAAATTTCGGCTACATGCTTTTACATTCTTTTCGGCTATATGCTTTTGTAGTATGTACATTTACATGTTATATTCTTTCACGACCCAATACAGTTGATACAAACTTGGACGGACCTGTTAAAATGACATCCTCTCTCAGCGATCAATCGATTCAATTAGTCACTCAACATCAACTCGAACTTATTGAAATAATAAGAAACGCTGTATTTCGTTTGCATCAGATATTTTGAATTTTGATGCTCACCTGAATATTTAATATAATTCTAGTCCTCGAAAAAAATTATCAATGTCCATTGAACCAAGCCGCCATATGTCGGCGGCTGACTCATGGTTTGCAGTTTGATGGCAAGTGTTAGTACACTTGTAATGTTGGGGACCGGAATGAACTTTCTCTTATGCCTTGAAAAGATATTGCATCGCCTTCCCCTCCTTTCTCCACCCATAGCTAGCGGGTTCAATGGACTTCTTCAGTTTATAGACGACGCAATTACAAGTTTTGAAGTGAAAGTTCCCGTTGAGGAACTCGTCAGCTTTCTGCTTCAATGGGGTCAATATTTCCATGGGAACAATATTTACAGTTAACCATTAACCAATGAACAATATTTACAGTTAATAATTAACTAGTGAACAATATTTACAGATAACAATTAACTAGTGAACAATATTTACAGTTAACAATTAACTAGTGAACAATATTTACAGTTAACCATTAACCAATGAACAATATTTACAGTTAACCATTAACCAGTGAACAATATTTATAGTTAACCATAAACCAATGAACAATATTTACTAACCATTAACCAATGAACAATATTTACAGTTAACCATTACACAATAACCAATATTTACAGTTAACCATTAACCATTGAACAATATTTAGAGTTAGCCATTAGCCAATGAACAATATTTACTGTTAACCATAACCAATGAACAATATTTACAGTTAACCATTAACCAATGATTAATATTTAGAGTTAACCGTTAACCAATGAACAATATTTACTGTTAACCATAACAAACGAACAATATTTACAGTTAACCATTAATCAATATTTACAGTTAACCATAACCAATGAACAATATTTAGAGTTAACCATTATCCAATGAACAATATTTACTGTTAACCATAACAAATGAACAATATTTACAGTTAACCATTAACCAATATTTACAGTTAACCATTAACCAATGAACAATATTTACATTTAACTATTAACCAACGAACAATATTTACAGTTCACCATTAACCAATGAATAATATTTACAGTTAACCATTAACCAATGAACAATATTTACAGTTAACCATTAACCAATGAACAATATTTACAGTTAACCATTAACCAATGAATAATATTTACAGTTAACCATTAACCAATGAACAATATTTACAGTTAACCATTAACCAATGAACAATATTTACAGTTAACCATTAACCAATG